ATTAATGTGTTTTTAAGTTTCACCGTTTGATAAGTTTTCCCGTTTAATAAGTCGTTTCTTTCCACTCCCTTGAAAAACTTCTTAAACGGGTTCTACTGTATATCATTCTTAGTTCAAAAACTTGCTTTACATTTTTTTTTTAAAAGTTCAATTTTATTAAGTTAAATATTATACACGGAAAACCGATGCCATTTATGATATCAAAATAATTTGGGGCATTTCAGAGAAATTTAAAACCTTAATAATAACATAAGTTGCTTTCAACAAATAGTGAAAAATAATAATAAAGATTTCATTTATTTGTTCTACAGATAGGTGCAGATATTTAATATTTGCTTCTAGCTTCAAATCAAATAACCTACTGAATCATTCCAACATCTTGTCTCACACATTTATTGATTGCATTAAAATCACAATACATTAATAAGAAGATATAGATGTAATCTATTAAATATGTATTATTTTGATTTAAAAAAAACACACTAAACAAAAATATAATTTTAAAACGAGCCTATTGTATCATTTTATATGGCATGAAAACAAACTAAATTTAAAATTCAGTTTCAGAGAGCACTGAATTAGCATTCAATATTTATAAGAAAATTATTTATCTGAAAATATCACATTATAAAATAATATTATTCGATATTACCCTTTCGTTTACACAAGAAATAGACAACTTCAGGTACATTTTAATTAATTAAGATATTGAAAATTGATAAGTTGAAATGAAAGAGTTCTTAACTGAATTCAATATATTTTAAAAGACATTTAATAAGTCTTAAGAAGTTAACTCCCAAAAATCACATCAAAATATATTTGGTTTTGTTTGTCCTATAATTTCAGATTGGGTGATGAACACATGCATCTGACAAAAAAACAAAGTCTATGGAAGCAAATATTAGCTATTTTTTGTCCTCCATTTATGTATATCTTCTTGGTGGGCATCTGGAACAAGTTGGTGTCGAATACCCCCTAAGACAGAATGAGTTGCTTCTCCACCTAAAATAATTGGCTGTAAAAGTAAGCGTGGCATTTGGCGGAGGGATCCTCCAACAGCACCAAGAAAGCCTTTGTGTTCGTGTTCAGTGTAGGCAGCTTGATAAAATGTATGAGCAGTATTTCCTATGCCCTGAAAATAAAATTAATATAAATTGTATGTTGAGAAGAGAGACGTCAATATTGGAAAGAGATCTCAGTAACATATCATAGGTTATTTTTTGTATAACTTATTTTTGTATCCTATTTGTGGTAGCTATTCACATAATCACACATGCAAGAAAATACGTTAATACTACATAAAATAAATATTGCTTAAAATACTGTTTCCTTGGGCAATACCAAATAAGGTTCTTCACATCTCATGTAGAAAAGCAGCAGAAACTATAAATGATGGAGATTTCAAAAATAAGAAGGGAAGATTCGATATTATTTCAAAGCTCACCAAAATTACACTAAATTTGCCTGCACTCCATAGTAACTGGGGAAGTTCTATAATGTCTGAAGTTCTGGTTCATAAACATATATTAAATTTCAAAAGGATCAGGTTACAGTGTGAAAAAAGACCACCCTGAATAACCAGTCTAAAACTCACTCTCAATGGCTCGAGGGGGTGACCTAAAATATGCTAATTAATTAGTGCAGACGATATTTTAAGTTACGAAATCAGGAACAAGCTAAGTACTTCTCTGAACATACATACCCTTTTTTTTTTTGACTGATTCAGATTTCTGACTCCTAAAAAAACATCACCCAATCCTAATAGTTTGGTCAGGAGAGAAGACCAAAATTCGGACCCCTTAATGCTAATTTTACTCTTTGCGTATTTTGCATTATCTCGAGAATATTTTACAAATGGAAAAAAGTTTTGCACACAGTTATAAAATTCGTTTATCCAAAGATAATTCCATGCAAAAAGTAATTTTTAGTAAGTATTTTTTAATATTTTATTTAATAACTAGGAGGCTTCGCCCCCTGCTCGCTGGCGCTCACCAACCCCCGGAACTGCTTTCACAGTTCATTTCGGATTGCTTCGCAATCCAATGCTCGCTTTGCTCGTTCATTGGATACGTTCTTAACGTCTAGTTTTTGTATACTTTTTTGAATACTGAAGTTCCGAAAACTTTTCACTGTAGAAAATTCTAAACCTGTACATTTCAATATTAATTTGAAATTGCAAACAGTTCACAGATTTTTCTAAATCACACTATTCTAAATTTCAGTTGTTGAGAAAAGTAACTGTTGTAAGTTTTGTTTTAAA